CAGAACTATATTTACAGGCTTTCATTTTTAACCATCAGAACTTTCACATCCTCTTCTATCATTCCTGCCAGCAGTAGCCAGCACAGTTTCCAGCAGTCTAGCTACTATAACATGTCTCAACATAAGCTGAAAACTCACCCAAGAAGCAACTTACTGATCTCCATAATCCTGCAGCAAGAATGCTTCTGAAACTTGAGTCAGCTGCTTGAAGTTAGAGCTGAGCCCAGGACAATTGGCTAGATCTATGCTATACTGCAGTGACTGGGATGTATTATACCCGAAGGATTCGCTGTGGGAGAGAATAACTTAGCTGGCTAAGAGTAACATGCCTGGTCACATTTTACACAATAAAATTCAACAGGATGTTTTTAAAGGCTGTTGTAAATAGAGTAGCACCCCTAATTTTTTGGAAAGAGCTTCCTAGCGACAGGAGATAAGACAAAGTAAACAAGAAACTAAACTACTGGAGTGAGCATTGCCAAAATAAAACATTTCCCTGCCAATTAGTAGGAAGTTCAATCGTATACACTCAGAGCCTAGAAGATTAGATCTCAATTAATTCAGCTAAAAGTTCCCATATGAGAAAGTCCTACAGTTTGAATAGAAATTAAATTGATATTAAATTTATGGAAATTATTTTGCACAGCTGAAAAAATCAAAGAAATGAATTTAAGACCAAACAAAATCAGAAAAAAATGCCACTGCATTTACTGACTTTATTATCTTGACTGACTTTATTCTAGCTCTAGAATGCAAATGAGTAGCATTTATAGCTTCTAAAAAATTAAAGGTTTAAGGTCACACCAGGAAAGAAAAGCTGCTTTTTGAGATACACAGTGCAGACCTGCCAAAAACTTAGGTCTTCTGCCAGTAGTGGTAAGAGCCTGTTTTCTATATAAGCACTGAAATGGTTAGTATTAACAGCTGCAGCTAAAGCCTGTGGCCAGCAATACCAGCTTCCTCTTGCAAAAGAAATAACCATGATAACTCTGTGGTACAGGCTGGCTAGTAGTAACTTTTAATTGGTGGCTTTTTTACTACTGAGGGTACAAATTCAGTCTGTTTTGAAGGGTTTGATGTGTTCTCTGATACATATTGGTAATCCAAGTAGCAAGTCTTACATACTGATGTCTAGATAAATATATACCTGCTCTTACGGAAGAATCACCAGAAGAGAAAACCTTCAAGGATCAAAATGCAGTCTTTGCTATGGCTTCAATTCACTTTATGACAAATGTGAATACAGGAACAGATGATCAAATTATTTGACTTAGAACCATTACGTTTTAATTGTTACGTAGAATACAATTCAGGTTACCCAAGCCCATTCTTCCTCCTTGTTTTCTTCAACAGTGATAACCAGAAAATGATGCAGCCTTGCATGCCAGAAAACATCACCTGATAATCCTTTCAATCCATATGATGGAATTGAAAGAATTTGTTTAGTTATTAGAGATTGTGTAGGAGGGGTTTACAGATATCAGGAGTCTGTTCAAAGGCCCCAAAGTGAGATGCAAAGCTCAGTCACTTTGCATTTGTAATTTTTCATGGGAAAATGAGAACTCTTTATAAAGCTGAAACTGTGCAAGCCTCTATGATCTGATCTTAAAGAACATAACCAGCAGAATTTTCTGCATCTGAAATGCAATGTGTCTGTGGAATTTCTGTCAGCAAGAATAGGTTGATTAGGGGATTAAGAAAAGCTCTTTACTATTAAGTGAACATAATTCCATTCTTCATGCACATCTGTGTGGAGTTAAAGTCCTCTTATTGCACTGTTTTTTTCTCACTGATGCTAGTTCCTGGGTCCTTTTTATGAGTTCTTCTGTGAATCAAACTGTTTTCTTCTTTTTACCTATGGAATTTCTTACTAGCTGTTAAGTAAGACTTCAGTTTCCCACATGCCTCACGGAAATACAGGCAAATGTGAAAACCATCTACTGGAAAAACCTCCATACTTTAGCAGGCCCAGAGGATTTAATAATCAGCATGAGATTTTCTTCCTTTCAATTATTCTTCTGTTTAAAACAGAAATCATATTAATACTAAACACATACACACAAAACCCCAGTTGCTTCTCTTTCTCAGTGTTTATTTTTTGAAGTCTTCCCGAATCATCTTTTGACTGTTGTTGCTGACTTCTTGGGCTAAGGCAGCACTTACTAGACTCAGCATTACTAGAGGGGCTTTGAAGATTTTTAAATCTTTTTTATTTTATTTTATCTTATTTTTTAACGGGGAGGAGCCAGTTTGGTTTTGCATCTTCTTGGGAGAGGTGGGGAGGGTGGGAGGAGAGAGGAGGTTTAAACAGAAAAAGCAGCAGAATGCACATAGCAAATTAAGGACTGATTGACTGACTCCCACATCTCTCCAGAAACATATCAGCTATTTGTTATGGTGTGAGAGGGAGGAAAAAACCTTCTGGTAGAAATTTTAAAATCAGAAAAAAATTTAAAAGTGCCATCCTTTCCTATAAGAAATATTATAATTTACCCCCTTCAGATTACTGCCTATGAGTGGAGTGTAACATGCTCCTCAAACTGAGGGTTGGCTGAACATTTCAAAGTAAACCAAATCCTGCTTCATTTCCACTTGCTGAAGCACTTAGGAGTTAGAAAGCTAGCTAAAGATATGGCCAATTGCAGGTTTGTTCAGCCTGTAAGTCATGGTGCATTGGACCAATATAGTACAGCTCTTACTCCTTTCCACACCTACCAGCATGATCCAGTGAGAAGTAACTACTTTCACACTGCCTGGCTAGCAGGATCTTGTCATTCATTCCCGATCCAAATTACATACAGAATAGCATTTTTTTTTAAACAGAAAGTAAACATGATGGAATAGGTGAAATTTAAAGCCTTGCGTCAGCTTGACATTCATCACTGGTCCCCAGTAGCTCTACACACAACATCTGCTTTGCTCATCAGCTGGCCCAGGGCCAGCACTGGCTGCTGCCAGTTAGAAAGGTGAAGTTCTTTAAGCAGGAGAGGATCAAGTGCTGTCCTTGGAAGAACTGAAAAAAATATTTTAAACCAAAATTAGCAGTAGGTGAAAAAAGAAAGTTCTGGCTGATCATCTGGGTCAGCTAGAATCTTAATTCAACAGACAAGTTAAATCAAGAGTTTAATCCATTTATTTAATGAAAAAAATGATCAGTGCAGTCAGAGTCAAGGTGACACATTCCACAAGAAAAGTGAAAGATGGAAGAGCAAGAAAAAGAAAGTATGATGTCTTCAAACCAATCTTGACAGCATTTCTTTTTGGAGTTTGAGCTTTCTGGACACAAACTATAAGTACTCTGAAAAAAAATAAAGGAATTACAGTAAAGAAACTGTCCATCTTAAAGCTCTGACACACCCTACAGAGCACCTTACACTTTGTGAGCATTCTAAGAACTAGTGATGTGGCTGAAGGCTACTACATTTAGGACCCCTAAGTGAAACAGTGGACCTTACTTTTTTCCATTCACTGGCTTTCATTGACTATACTGATTTCACTAGTCAAATACAGTGCAAGAAGGCATCATTAGTCCTTAATAAGGACCTCATGAATTTCAACCAAGCAAAGTGCAAGGTCCGACAGTTGGGTCTGGGCAACCCCAGGCACAGCTTCAGGTTGGGCAAAGAAGAGATTCAGAGCAGCCCTGCAGAGAAGTACCTGGGGGTGTTGGTTGATGAGAAACTTAACCTGAGCTGGCAGTGTGTGCTGGCAGGTCAGAAAGCCAACCGTATCCTGGGCTGCATCAAAAGGAGCGTGACCAGCAGGTCGAGGGAGGTGATCCTGCCCCTCTACTCTGCTCTTGAGAGACCTCACTTGGAGTATGGTGTGCAGTTCTGGTGTCCTCAACACAAAAAGGACATGGAACTATTTGAACAAGTCCAGAGGAGGGCCACGAGGATGATCAGGGGACTGGAACACCTCCCGTATGAAGACAGGCTGAGAAAGTTGTGGCTGTTCAGCCTGAAGAAGAGAAGGCTGTGTGAAGACCTCATAGCAGCCTTCTGGTATCTGAAGGGGACCTACAAGGCTGCTGGGGAGGGACTCTTCATCAGGGACTGGAGCAACAGGACAAGGGGTGATGGGTTAAAACTTAAAAGTTCAGGTTAGATACAAGGAAGAAGTTCTTTACTGTAAGTGTGGTGAGGCACTGGAATGGGTTGCCCAAAGCAGCTGTGAATGTTCCATCCCTGGTGGTGTTCAAGGCCAGGTTGGATGGAGTCTTGGGTGTCATGCTTCAGTGCAAGGTGTCCCTGCCCATGGCGGGGGGGTTGGAATTAGATGATCTTAGGGTCCTTTCCAACCCTAACTATTCTGTGATTCTATGATAATAAGAATTCTCCCTACAGTATATCAGACAGAAAGAGAGAACTTCCATAAGAAGTAGCATGGATGGGAAATACCTACAAGTGTTCAATGATCAGATTCACATTGTTTTAAATTAAGAGTGATACAAGTTACATTACTTGTGGATGAATTTTCTGAATCACATTGATACCATATGTTTTCCAATGCCTGATGCTAAGCACTTAACATGTTTCTTAGCTCATAAGTGATAAATTTATAGAATGTAAAACCCAGCCTCTTAGACAATGGTAAAACCCAATTTGTGTTCTCTAAAGAAATAACGTAGATACAAGCTAAGCTGAAGTGCAGTAACTCTTAATTGCAATCTGAGAATGCACTGAGATAGACCAATAAGTATGCAGAGAGCTTTAATGATGACAGATGCTTGGTACAGGAACCAGGAACAGCACATCTAGAGTTAAATACACATCTTCTACTTCTGTATTTGGGATTAAACTCTTCTTGACAATTCCCTTTAGCTTATTATTACTGAAACTAGATATGATATTTTTAAATTCCAAGCAAACATAAACAGCCTTTTTTAAAAAAAGAAAAGAGATGGTTTTATACTGTAAGATAATGGCTGCCAGCTAACAGAAGTTTAAAGCATATCTGAAAACAGTACTATACGAAGTAATCTTAATACTGCAACTTACCTCTTCCCTATGATTCTTTATTGGCATACAGAGAATACTCTGAGTCTTATACCCTGTGATCTGGTCAACTTCTGCATTGAATCTTGGATCCTGGTACAAGAAAAAGAAAAAAAAGTATTATTTGACTACTTGCCTATAGACCAGGTCTTATTCTTTCCTAGTTTAAAGGTTAAGAAAAGTACAATATTTGACGTAAATGTTACCCAGGATAACAAAGGTTCCCTTACTAGCCAATAATTATATAAAGTTGTTACTATCAGTGTGTTAAAACAACAACAAAAAAGCATGTATGTAGAACATGATTTCCTGTGGATAAATGTAACAGCCAGAAAGAACTCGAAAAAAAACTCCAAAACACTCAAACCCTAGGAGGAGCCTTTTTCAAGCCATAGTAAATGCATACATGGACTAAACATCCCTGGTATAGCTTTTATAATCAAAAAATAAATTACAGAAATACACTGAAATACATAAGTCCATAAAGGAACAAGGTTTCATGAAGGTGGTTAGTGTTTTTCCTTTTACCAGAGAGCGCTTGTTTCATTTTTTTAGTGGAAAATTGTTATAAAATTCAGATTTTTTTTTTTTTGTTTTAATAATAAAATAAACCAGACTGTTTTTAAAGCTGCTGTTCTGTCTCTGGTGAATAATTTCAAGTTGAGCATGATGGACCCAATTCAAATCTTTGTCCAAAGATAAAAATGCAAATACTGGTGTGCATTTAGCAGGTTCAAATGGGGCTGATATCTGACTGGGAATGTCAAACTTATATAATTTATTTTGATGTTAGCTATTCATAGCTACATATTTCTGTATAAACATGTATCTATTATACACACATTCTAACCAAAAGCATGGTATCAGGCTTGCATCTTGACTGGTTTAAGTCACTATAACTCCAAATACATGTACTAAAATGGCAATATCACAACAGCTGATAATATGGCTTTTTCTTTTTTCAAGAATTGTTCAAGATAAATTTTCTTGGTTTACCTCATAGGCATTCTTGATGTTCAGAGGTTGGCCTATAGCTGCCACATGCCCAACAATGCCCTTGTTCCAATCCAGACGAATGCAGCTGTTGGAAGCTTCTTCCAGGGTAGAGCCTTCTGCCACATCAAACAGTCGGCTTACAAGAAACTTCTCATTAGAGCTGTCCTCACAGACCAAGAAGAGGGAATAGCGATCAGCTGCTATAAGCTCATGAATATGTAGGAAAATTTTATGGCACAGCGCTGTGACATCTAAGTGACTAGAAATATCTTTCACAAGTTCTAATAATCTTGAGCACTGATCCCCTGCACTGGTCTCAATTCTTGGAGATTGCAGAGGCATCTGTTCTTTCTTTTCAGAGCCAGAGAGGAAAGTCACTGCTCCTACTGAGTCCTTGACAAAAATCGGCCTTAAGGGTCTGTCAAATTCAGAAGCAGATATTTTCCTCACTGGGGCCCCAGGATTGGTGGTCTCAGCACAGACAGGCTGGTGACAAGCACAGAATTCACTCTGGGACTTGGTTCCTTCCTTGCAGGTTGGGATGGTGTGAACTCTTTCAGCAAACCATACATTAACCATTTCTCTGTAAAACGAAAATAAAAACATAGTGAATGATGCAAGTTAAAAGTACTCAGGGACTAATATGTATTTGAAGAGGACACTGCAAAGATAGTAATTTTAGACCTTTTCATACAGTGGACATGAGTGCACCTTTAGTGTTCCCCTATATCAATATTGTCATACTTTACACAGCACTTAGCCTAGATTAAGCGGTAATGGCTTATGCCCCATAAAAAGGAAGTTATTTCTGCCTAAAGGAAACAGCTGAACAGGCAGAGGAAGACTCCTTACACTGTGGCTGTCAGGATATACATTGGAAGTTTACACTGTGATTTTGCACTTGAAAAGTTCTGGTCCATACCATTGCTAAGATTTGGATTTCTGTGTACAATGAATATATATTTATAAGAAGACAAAACTTGCTGGTTTAATTCTGGTTTTCTAGGCCATTCCTAACTTTTAAAAAGTCAATTTTGAACCTTAATTGTCTCTGTCAAATCACCTGCAGCCCCTGCTATTTTTATATCACCTATACACTATTTTTATGTTAACTTCCTCTGCTTTCTCAGGGTTAATGAAAAATGCTGGTTTGACTCAAAGCACAAAGTTTTGCTTGAAAACTGTCAGGCAGGAATATGAATATTTCTAATTCACCCCCCCTCAAAATAATGAAAAGACAGGCTGTTTTCATGCATCTCTCCTCTTTGCTTTCCTTGCAGATGGAACTCATGCCTCACTCAACCCAAAATACTGAGTACCCACAAAATTACACTTTTGAAGAGTTTGACACTGAACTTTAGTTTTTAACTAAACCCTAGTATTTCTTAAATTAACTTAGCACTAGAATGCCAACCCTAATAGTATGCTCATCATAATAACCAAGTACAGCATATGTTGAATTATTCATAAGCACATCTCATCAATAACATGAGTACACTTTTTTCTTATCACCATAATATTTTCTTGTCAAAAATCTGTTGGGGTTTTTTTTGTTTGTTTGGGGGTTGTTTTTTGGATAGTTTTGTTTTGGTGGTGATGGTTTTTGTTTTCTTCGGTTTTGTTTGTTTGTTTAATAAAGGGCTTTTTATTTCATTTACTCGTTGTCAAGGATTTGTCAGAGCAACCAACCAACTCTCAGAAGAAATGTTTGTTTTCTGAATTACATAATGTATGGGCCTATGAACAGCAAAAATCGTATTAAAAGTCTTATAATTTGGAAAACTTTATGGTGGCCATGTTTTAAATTTGGTATATTTTTTATTTGCTCAGCTGACCACAGGAATTTCAAGAGTGAAGCTGCATGAAACCATGGAAATTAGTCAGGTTAGTCAGCTACTGATCAGTTACATGCATCAACATATGTTCAGTATGAAAAGCACTGTACATAGGCTTTTTTTCCTTACAGAACAGCTCCATCTATGTTCTAGAATGCAATAATACAAGTAATTAACCATTAAATTCAAAGTAAAGTAATCAATTAAGATCTAAAGTACATCAATATAATTTTATTAGCATGCAATCCACAACAGGAAACTTTCTTGTCTCCTATTAGGAAGGTTTGAAAGAGTTGTTCAGATTTTGCAAGCATGTATCATTTGGAGATCTCAACTATAGGCAAATATGCTACGAGAAACTGAACTGATTTGAGAAATCACGTGAGTTACCCAGGAGCACCTGGACAAAGGGAAGTCATGTTACTGCACCCATTCCACTTCAGTGCTAGCTACCTGGTAATTTTTTCCCCTCAAGAAGTCTGACTGAGGTAAGTATCAGTAAGCGTAGCACTACAAAACCAAATTCTACTCTTATTCACACAAGTGCAACTCCAAATAAATGGATGACAGCCTATTCTTTATTTTGGCTTCTCTCTGCACATTGTGGTCCCGATCATGCAAAACCTTATGTACACAGTATCTTTTATAGCCCGGGTGAACTTCAAGGCTGACTGGTCAGTGTGTTCACATAAGACATTTGTGGATCTTCTGATGAGTCCAAAACCACTGAATGAAAAGTTATATACAATTAACGTGGTGGGAGCTTTGCCCACTGCAGAGCTAGGATTTCATCTCATGCTTTCACATTTTCCATGAAGCTCCTGGAGCAGTGCTAGCTGTAGCAATAATGTACCTCAATCAGCATCTATTATAAATTTTCCAGCAATCTAAAGCATGTCCTGTTACTGGAAACATGGTGCCAGAGAACACAATGAATTCCATTGTTATTCTGGAAAGCGTTTTGGTTCATTGCTTAGCTACTTATTTTAAAAGGAAGCTCTGATTTTTAAGTATATTAATAAAACCTACCAATGATCCTTCCTTATTACAGTAGGAATACATATTTTTCATGGAGCTACCTCATCCAAATGTTCTGCACCATAAAAAAGCATAAAGAACAATTATATGTTATTTAACTTTGACTTTAACAAGTTTACTTTATAGTACTTAAACAGGATAAATATTAAATGTGGAGTGTGTGACCATGTATTACTGAAATACACAGTTTACGTAGGGCAATATCCCATTTGCAAAAGCTGTTTCAATGACAGTCAAAGAAGCTAGGATTTGATAATCTTTGGGATTTTCATTTATTAAACTGAGAAAGCAGAATCAAAATTTGTGATGAAAATGACCAAAAGTATCATTAAGAAAAATAAAAAGCTTAAAATGCAGAAGTTTATAAGTAAACACAGTGCAACCTCTAAAATTAGTGCTGATACTTTTTGTCCTCATATGTGCTATGTTTGTGTTGTATGTAGTTTCTTTTTGTTTTACCCTCCTCTTAAGAAAAGCAATTACCTGGAGATCTTAGCCTTTTCTACACAAAATTTGGCATAAAGGCCCCAGAAAAGAACCTGAAAATGGGAACTGGGTGTGTTTGAAGCCTCAGACACCAGAAAGTAGATCGAGAATAATTACTAGCTGTAAAAGGCTTGTGACTTGACCCAGTTCTATGAGTGTGTCTGCTGACTTGATTTTTTTCTCAACATCAAGGACTGGCATTAATGTACAACAAGATTTAAAAGTAAATGTAATATCCTGATATCGATGGTGAGCATTCTTAAAACTCCAAGTGAGTAGGCATAGGAAGCTGTGTACTTTGTCTAAGCATGTTTGAAAATGCACGTGGGTGAACCTGTACTATTGTGGAGTGACAGCTACTTGCAGAGCAATCTGAACGACTGTTTATTTCCACATGATGAAAGGATAATATACAATGCTACCATTTAACCTAGCTTTCTTTCACGTTGAATTTACTATGGAAAATAAACATTAATTTCTCTATTTTATGGAGGGTATTGAAGGATGTGGAACATAACTGTAAAATCATTTACATGAAAGTAATTACATTTCTTTCATAAGAACTGAATACTTGTTAGGTATCTGCACTATTTATGAAGCACTTTTGACGCTGAACAGAACTATATGTGGAGCTGCATAATTCTGAGTAACATATTCCTGTCCCCTTTAACGTCTCTTAGATGATAGTCCAATAACTTGCCAACATAGAGGGCAATTCTCAAAAAGGTTAACAACAAATAATTCTTAACTATACTGTTTAATGCATGGTTTTCAACTTCCAAGCATTTAGGCATTTTTATTTGAGCAACAGGAAAGCCATTCAAATTCATCAGAAATAAGAACAGTGTTCACTGTCCTTTACTGAATGCCACTTCTAACAAAGAAACTATTTAGCTCGCTTTACATACGTGCAGATAGAAAAACTAGCATTTCACACTAACTCATGTATTCAAACTATTTAAAATCCATCAGACAAGGACTTGACATACATTTGCTTGTTGATACTCAATCCTATTTAATAATGCATGACAAGTATTGTTACCAACACAACTACTTTCTCAGTGCAGAATTAACTTGACAGATACATACCAGACACATACTGAACCACAAGTGAGGTTACTGGATATGAGTAACAAGCACTATGTATGCTTAATTAAGACATTATTTTTAAAAGACTGCAGGAAGAAACAAACACGTGGGACTATTCTATTCATATAAATAGTCCTCAGGCACTGAGATCATCAAGAGCTGATTGTAAGAACAAGATGCTTACTGTAGAACAAAGTTTAGAAATTTCAGGAGTGTATTAAACATGAGCAGATACTGATCCACTGTGATCTACATAGATAGTTAAAACCAATGCAGCATCTCCATCCCAGCACAGCAATTGCTGCATGTTGAGGTGTTGCATGTTGAGGCATCAGCATCCACTCCTGATGAGCTGCATGCATCCTGTACTGTACTATGAACCTTTACTGCAGTGTGAGCCTCCGCTAGAGAAAACTGTAATTTATCCCAGAGTTCATAAACAGAAAGAACTGCATATGAAGTAACCATTTTTTAGTCATTACCATCAGCTAAATCTAGTCTTTCCTGTATAAAACACCCTATAAAATTTCAAAAGAGCATGACAATAGTGACTGCTGAATTTGGCTGGTGACCTCATCAGCACATCCCAAAATTGGAAAGAAATTCTGAAGAGATAGGGATGAGAATGGGATGAAAATACAATGTCAGGTACAACATTTAAAGAAAAAAAAAAGTGGGATCCTCCCCTCTATTATGCTTGTATACATACACACTTGTATATATATGCACATTATCTGCACTCCATGAGAGCTCAGAAACTTCAGAGGAATTAAGGCTCTTTGGCCCTGACAGGTTACACTGTACAGAAAGTAGACCTGTCCCTAAAGCAGGAATTTTTCAGTATGAATAGGCAACAAAAATAGAAGATCACTAGGTGAAAAAACACAGGCACAAAGAAGCAACATGGCTTGAGCCAAGTCACACAGAACAGCACAAGTAGACCTGAAGTCTTCAGGTCTGCGACTTGATGAGAATCTTGCTTTATTTCCTCTGCTGTATGTATCAAACCATGCTGACATGACGTTAATTATTATTCTACTCATACACTGGGAATATTAAATAATTTATTGTACCCACCTTTGCTTCATTGTGATTATCTTGAAAACACACAGCATACCTTTGCAAAAAAATCCAAACAAAAACCAGTACAGATGCTTAAAAAGTAACAGCCAGATTATAATCATATTGTTCTCACATATAACTTACATATGTAAGACAACCGCAATGTGAACCCATAGCAGGTATGTGGTTATCTTTGGAGAAAATACAAAAACGGTAAAAAAAGTAACAATGAGATGCAGCAATGACAGTACACTGCGTCTTACTTATCTTGCACAAAGAATGCATAATAATGACTGTACCATAAAAGTAGTGAGTAATGAGTAGCTTCCAGTGAAATAACAAATAGTTCCCCATTTTCTCTGTTGCTCAGAAGTCTTTTATATATACAATGTGCAACCTTTCAGCAGTTTTGTGGCCTGTTTGCTAATTTGTCATGCAAACCAGCAGCTACCGAAGACACACTTCAGAAGATGGATTGAATACAAACTTGCCTACTAGAAAACACTCACTTTCAAATATCTGAATTCCTGTGGCCTAACCCTGTCAATGCCAAAATCAACAATATTTTAAGCTCAGATTATTTTCTTAGTTGCTTTCCTTAAAATAACCACTAGATATCTTTAAATTTCTTTCACGCATCTTGACATAGAAATTATTTGAAGCATTAACAACAGCTCAAAAACATTCAGTTTTAACAAAAGAGTTTGAAAGTCAGTGTCACTTGAACATTATACTTGCCTTCCCATTTTCTTGCCAGTACATCCTATTCCACTATCATGTTTTAAGTGGAATGCCATGGAAACATTTAAATAAACTGTGTAAGGCCTCAATAGATGGGAACAGTAAACTGACTGTAAAAGAAGTGTTTTCAAGTTAACTAAAGAAGTAGATTGACAAAGTCAACAGTTGGTTTTCCTTAAAACCTTTCCAATTGTAGTTACTAGACATGCTATTGCTAACAGTGGTAGACAAAGTTTTTAAAGACAAAGTGTAAGTTAAAGTCTGTGTCAATTTTTGCACAATGCAGTCAAATATATAAGCATACATTTAACTTTAAACATTTTAAGTGGCCTGACTGACTTCTGTTTGAATGCAAATCTAAATTAAGAACTCTAATTCTTGACTCCAACCACGCTAGTGAAAGAGTGAAATACAACGTTTTAGAACTATGAAACGATGTAAATCTTGTCTGAATGCTCACATTATTTTTTTTAAATAGGAGGCAGAGGTTCCTTTATTATTTGAAGCAAAAGTAGTTGAAATGGAGGACTACTACTAACAGGCTATTCTTCGTTATTTTCAAGTTTTCTTTAACAACCAAACTGCAAGTTTAGCTTTTCACAAAAAAAGCTTTCCTCCATATAAGGGACTTTCTACTCACACTATAAAGACAGAATAAATTCTTGGGGTCAAATTCTAAAACATGGACTTGTGCATGTTCAGGTTGTTAAGATGGTCTCGAACCAGATCCTCTCCTACAGTGGGCCCAAGGTCTTCATTCTCATAGTCTCTGCGCCTGCCTTCCAAGACTTGGGTGGTGCAGTCAGAGCCTTTGCCAGTGAAGACCAAGATAAAGAAATCATTCAGAACCTCAGCCTTCTCCAAATCCTGTGTAGCTAGTTCTCCCGAGAGCTTCCTGAGGGGGCCTATGTTCTCCCTAGTCTGTTTTTTATTTGCTATGTACCTGTAGAATCGCTTCCTGTTATCCTTAATATCCCTAGCCAAGTTTAATTCTAACTGGGCCTTAGCTTTCCTAACCTGGTCCCTAGCTTCCCGGACAACATCCCTGTATTCTTCCCAGGCCACCTGTCCTTGCTTCCACTTTTTATAAACCTCATTTTCATTTGAATTTTCCTCAGCAGCTCCTTATCTATCCAAGGAGGTAGCCTGGCCATCCTGCTGCACTCCTGAGCTTGTAGCAGGTGATCCTTGAGTATCAACCAAGAGTCTTGGGCCCCCCTGCCCTCTAGGGCTATATCCCACGGAACCTTAATAAGCAGGTTCCTGAAAAGGCCAAAGTCTGCTTGCTTGAAGTCCAGGGCAGTGAGCTTGCTGCACGCTCTTCAAGAAAGGCGTAGAGATACAGACACCTTATTCATAAGTGGTACAATTATGGAGATGGCTAAACCAACAAGAAAACTTTCCAGGATTTCATAGAAATCAATTTTTTTCTGTACTTCATTCTTGGAAAAGCTCTGTAAGTATCTAATAAAACCAAGTAAGTGAGAGAAAATACTCTGATCCCTGCATTAACACCACTACTTCATATGGTTTTCAAGCCATGGTTGAAAAAAATCAGTGGTCTGCAGTCTTCTTGTACATGGTTTGCTCAGGATAACTTAGAAAAGCAAGACCCCTTTCAGCATGTTTGAACAATTTGCATAAGATTCTGTGCCTCTACTAGAAAACTGTTAGTGG